AGTGTTTATTAAAGACTGTTCGTCTTCACAACCTTTGAATCAATGAGGCTGACTATGTCCTTATGACTTGCATTTTTATCTTGGAAAAAAAAAAAGTCAACATTCGTTGACTCAATGTAGAATAACTCGACCTTGTTAAAAGTTTAGTTTAAACCATTAAATTTAAGATACACTACCATAATAAATAGATTATATATATAATTCACTCATTTTTTAAAATTAAAATGTTTAATAACAGTGACCCAGTTACCGTTATTTAAATTTTTTTAAAAATTATATACATATAATAATTGATTATGTTATCTTAAAAACATTAACATATTAAGCATATACTTTATGAGAAAATAAAAACGAATTTAATATATCACGCAATAAACATAATTGAATTAATTCACTTATGATCTAAAATTCTAAATCAGCTTATTATAATATATCTGTTATAACTTCTTCTGCGTGTTTTCTGACATCATTTGCTGAAATTTTGTGGTAGAAATTATTTGAAAATTTAGGATGGTATTGAAAAAACAAAAAGCATATATAACAATTAAATAGGGTGACTCACACCTATTCACAACTTGGCATATATACAAGTCAGCGATATCCAGAAAATACATAGAAGCATGAGAAAATAAATATGAAAATTCAAAGACGTTGACAAAAATTGAGCAGTCGTTTTAGAACATATTAATTAATTAATTAAAATATTATAAAATAAAGTCAATATACCACTTTTTTATTTTTTTTGGGAGTATTAGGTATGGTCACCACCCATCCCTACTTTAGTTAATAACCTTTTCGTTGTAAGGAACCTAATGCATTTTGATTTAGTGCTTTTCCATGTACAAAGACACATGAAATTTTCACTTCAAATATAATTTTAATTATTTCAAATATATTTTATTTATATGTATCAATGCAACAATGATGTCATTTTCAGAAATCTTTAGGATTTTTATATCTATATTAAAGTAATTTTTTTTTTTTTTCTTGGTTACCCTTGATTATAGATTATGGTTGGTCCCATAATTTTAATCAATCAATTCCTATATAAAATAATTTTATAAAATATTTTTTATTACTATTTTAAATTATCATGGCTTAAATTTAGTAGTTTAACTTTATTTATTTATATTTAAAAAAATTTAAATATTTTATTCATAATTTTATAAAATATAAAATCCAAACCATTCAAATTATAATTTTACGGTTAAAATGAAAAGTTGAGAAAAATGGAGAGAAATGAAAGTTAAAAGACCTCTCCCCCTTTCCGGCTTCCTTATGGGGTCAATTTAATGCTTCTAAAAAGATTCATATTCTTAAAAATGGTAGTTCACCATGTTAATGCTCACTCTGATTCTTGTTATAAGATCCCTTTTAGAAAAAAACTTTTAATTTTTTTTATAAGATCGTATGCTAATTTCAATGAGAATCAAGAGTAATAAGAGAGTAGAAATTAATGTGATGTTAGAATTTAATGTAGTTAACAAAAGTAATATTGAAAATCATTTAAATTTTATGACAAATTTAATACTTTTAACTATTTTTTATCAGTATGTGTGAATTCGTTAATAGTCTCAAGAACAAGAACTAGAGAGAGTACTTGCTAATTCTTTTGTGCTAAAAATGAAACACCAAAATCTTCCATCAACCATGAAAAAAAAAACAGAGATTTCAGGGTAAAAATCAAGTTATAACACTTACTAGTGTGATTAATTAGAAGCCTAGATCTACTCCACAAGAGTCAAAATTCTCAAACCCTAGCTAAGAAAATCATGTTTTCTTCCTTTTCTTTTATTTCTTCCCATTTTTCTGTCAAGTTTCGCACTCTTCTACCCCTCAACCAAGTCACCGATAATTAATATAAGAAAAGGAAAATTTGAGATTTTACAACTTTATGTGTCTGCCAAAAAGAATGATTAAAAATATCAATCTTAGATACTGATGAATATCCCACAAACAAAACTTTGAATATCCCACAATCTTGAAATTCATTTGAACATCTTAGCTTTGAAAAGTACTGCTAGTTTTAACTGGTAATGAAAAGATTAAGATTGAGTTTAAAAAAGATACACATGGGAAATAGGCCGAGATTATTAGCTCTAATTAGAAATGATGAATTATAGTTCCACTTTTTACCAATAATGCAACTTTCTTTGCATACATGTATCTGTGTGTATTTATATCAACTATCAAAGTTAAAACTTTCTGGCATAGGAATGATTATATATAGTAGTCTGCTAATTATGCCAAAAAAGCAACACGTAGATATCCCTCACACTATTAGTCTACCAGATAATCATTAAGAGAGTAGAAATCTATGAATGATTAATCAATCCAACCACCAAGTCAACATCTCTGGCTCTGATCTGTTATCTTATAACGCAAGTATAGATTCTCATTGGAATCAAAGTCGTATTAGTTATCTTGTGTTGGGTTATTCTTAGTTATCTCTTCTTCCCTTGATCAACTCTATTCCAAATCACTATCTTGATGCATTTGGTGTGACTTTACATTGCATAGGCATACTAAATAATTCATGGGATTCCACGTACGCCCACAAATCTTTCATCCCAGAACCCACATGGTTCTAAAGCTAATATTTATATTCAAATCTCTGAAAAATTTTCAGCCAAGAGAGATGTCTCCAACATGATCCCGAAACAAGTGCTTTTGACAGCAGACTGTTCGGTGTTGTTTGTTTGTTTCTTGCTGATGAATGTAGTTTTTGAGAGCAGAAGTTAAAAAGAATTTGGTGTGAGATGGTGACAAACTGAGAGAGAGAGAGAGAGAGAGAGAGGAGAATCAGAATCAGAATCAAGTAGTGCTTTTTTATTTTTCTCCGGTACTTCATGTAAAGATCACACATCGATATGTCAATTTCCCAGATGTTGAATTTTATCTGACACCACCATTTCAACAAGAAAGCTGTGTCATTCACAATATAACATGATCCAGCCGTACACATTTGTCTTTTAGATTTTAACATTCATTCAAAAGGAGCTTAGTATATCAGCTATACATACATACATACATATATATACATATAGCATATTATCACTAGGCAGCATATTAATATTATCAGTCTTCCGTGTTAAGCAGAACCATACATTTTGAAGCTTGTTCAAGGTAGAGGTAGACCAGTAAGGCTTGTTACAAGAGTTATCTTGAAGAAGCCAAACGGCTATCAAGGATTATCAAGAAACTTGGCCCTGTCCCTCTGACTCTGGATCTTCCAATTTCACAAAATTAAAGGATGGGAAAATCAAAAAAAGTAATGAAAGAGTATAACATGTCAGCTGTCACTTTTTCTCCGATTGCATGGCTGCCTGATTACAAAAACATATATTTTCTATCACCGATTACTTTAAAAGATATCCAAGTTTGGCCAAATTTAAATATGAAGTCTCAGGAAGATAAGAGTTCTTCCGATAAATATTTAACATAGCCATTGCCCCTGTAGTCCTCTAGTTACATTACTTTGTTAATAATGATCGAAATCGTCAACCTCTTTCGTTTACACTTGGCCAAACAAGTTTAGTTCAATACTACCCGATCTTTAATATAAGAACAAGCTAATTAATTTAAATAAATTTAAAAATTAAATAAATTAGTTATTTATAATAAATAAGTGTTATATTCTCCAAAATTTTCTTACTAAGTGTATTAGTTAAAACTACTATTTGATGAAATTTATAACATGTGTAACTACTATAAGAACTATTTTGAAAGGAAAAAAATGAGCCAACACTAGAGATTTAAGACCAGCTTGAATCTGAAGGTAGTATTCAGTATTTAAACAGAAAACAAGAATGCCCCATGTGACAATTTTCGTGCGTCTTATTTCATTTATGAAAATCGAATGCTCGCCAAAACAGTAACTACATAAACATGGCAACTCGCCGAATCATTGAACTTAAAGTAAAGCAGGTAAGAACACAACTCATACTAAAAAAGCACGTAGCTGATTCATTACTATTTAAGTGATCCTTTGGTTGTAGTTTTGGTTTAACTTCAATGAATTATCAACTTGGCCGTTCAATTCACAGCTGGTTTCTGCTACATTTGTAAAGGCTGAAATTTTGAGCAACGGCTTGATGTGTAACATGATCGATACAACTACCTACAAAGTGAATATGAGAATGTATCACAACCCAGAGCTCCAATACAACGCCCCACTCACAAATCTCAAATAAATACGTGCCCCCACCTTCCATTTCAAGAAATTGGCATATACAGTAATGCTTTTCCTCTGCTCTAGCTCACGCAACTTCCATAACTGGCTCAAATCAAATCCTACATATCTTGAAAAAGAGAACACAGAACATTCACAAACTCACTGTTCCAGAGAGAATGTACACTGGAGGATGATCCTGTCATTGCCAAGTCTATAACCATATCTCTATTTGCAGACAGAAAAAAGCAACGTCCCCAAATAGATCATTTGGTCAAGATGAGATTCCCCCCCCCCCCTTTTTGAACCATTTCACTCCTCTAGAGAGCAAGGCAATCAGAATAACATATTACATCAAGAATTCAGTAAGAGTTGCTGCCTCACTTTTTTAAAAGAATTCACTACTCTAACTTTTCAGATTTCACCACAAGTGATTCTTATTGTTACATGTAATCAATGATGCTAAAGTTTGAGATTGAGACTTAAAAAAGAGTTTATCTTCTGTGATGTAAAGATGACTGAACCAAAATGGGACCTCACAAATATTCTTGACTCCACTATTATCCGACCTATCCTATCAAAATTATTGAATATATCCATTGATGAAGAGACTTGAGCTTCTTCACCTACAATGTAACATTATCATGCTTATCTCTTCCATCCCTGCTTGAAATCAGAACAAGATGAAGCAAACAAAACAGATATTGCCAACGATAACATTGTCGTCACAAAAAAAGAGAAGGGCCAACAGACGAAGATGTCAGATACAAGATTAATGGGGGCAATTGTTACAGGAAGAGCAAAATCAAAACATCAAACGGATCAGAGATTCATTCATTGTCAATCCCAAAATTACCAAATTATGTATGAACAGAAAAGGCAACAACAGAAGGTATGAGGGCTTCAAAATGCCAATTGCATAACATTCTCTTAAGTTTGATCTGTCATTGAATATGTAGAGCTGAAAGAATGCAATGAGTCTTGAGCTACCCAATGTGACAGATATTTCCTTCCCTCGTAAACCTTATCAAGACAAGATTGATTCGATTTGAGTCTGACACCCCATTCTACAATTTTTCCCTAGGAATCAAATCCCAACTCATCTTTTCAAAAATTACAGGAAGTCATTTTATGATTAAAAAGGAAGAAGAAAAAAGAGAACTAGGAAGAAAGCGGGCGAGGAGGAGGTAGCAGTTGATGAAGATTCTGATGAACTGGATTCTGTTGTCGAATTCCCGGATTTATAAAAGGATGCCCTAACAATCTCGTCGCCGTCCACCTCCGCGACGGATCTCTCTGCAAACAGCGCGATATGAAATCCCTAAATTCAGTCGACGCCGTCGCTGGAGCCTCCGGCGGCTGAGACATACAAATCGCACACATCAAACTGGCCCAATCCCCTTGCCTTCCGACCGCAAAGGGAAATCTACCCATGTAAAATTCCAGTATACTCACTCCAAGGCTCCATATATCGCCAGCATACGCATCGTATTGTCCATCGTTGATGTCCGTATTGATTCTCTCGGGGCTCATATATGCGATCGTCCCCACCGATGAATTACACGGATCCATAGTTTGCGCGAGAATCCGACCCACACCGAAGTCCGCAATCTTGACTTGGTTGCGCGAGTTGATCAGAAGATTCGAGGGCTTGATGTCTCGGTGAACGATGTGGCGGCGATGGAGGTAGGCGAGGCCACGGAGAATCTGACGAGCTAGATCTGCAAGGCGCTGCTCGTCGGGGATGTGTTGCCCTTCCAAGGACCCACCGTCCATGAACTCGAGAAGCACTTGGATTTCAGCGTTGTGATCATACATATCGTAACATTTGACCACGTTCTGGTCATCCACGTCCCGAAGGATCTGGACTTCGCGATGGATCTGTCGACGCACGGAGTCCTCGTGATGGCCGTATATAACCTTCAACGCGAAAACCCGAGCGGTAGGTCGGTGGACGACCTTATATACGGTACCGCCGGCCCCGCTACCGATTCGGTTGAGCCGTTCGAGCTCGGAGAAGGGGATAAGCTGGTGAACAGGGCCGGCATGGTGACTGGTCGAGGGCGCCGAGCTGGACGGCGGAAGAGGAAGAGGCACCGCTCTTGAATGGTCACGCGGCGGCATTGGCAAGGTCAGGTCTTTACGGCCAAACCGCTTACGGTCACGATTGGGAGCTCCAGCAGCGAGAGGTGGCTGAGTTGGCCTCATGATTTCAAGACAAAAGGGTATGGGAAATCCAATCGATGTACGATGAGATTCAAAGAAAACGAAAGGTAGAAACCCCTTTAAATATCAAATGGGTTTGTTCGAGAGAGAGGTTAGACTAATTCCGTGCTGGATTTCGTGCAAACAGTCCATGAAATGGAGGATGAAGGTCGTTCCGAGAAGACCGAAACGGAAGAAACAGCAACAAGAGGATACAGGAAATGGATGCGTTCTGTAAATCGCGAGAAAGGTTGGAGAGAGAGAGATTGAAGTAACAATGTCAGAAGAGGATGCTATCGGGTAATCGATATTTAAAAAGGCGAATGAGGGTCCACGCGCCTCAAGGTGCCGTGAGGAGCGTGGCCCAATCAGGATGCAGCAGCTCCCCTTGTGAGGAAACGGGCTTCACGGTCTGCCCGCTTAAACCGACCGGTTTGTTTAGGCCCGCACTTTGAAAAAGTATTTACTCTTCTAATTCTTAATATAAAACTTATTTAAATAATTTAATTAGATTAAAAAATTAGATAAGTTAATTAATTATAAGAAATATAATATATTTTTTCTAAAATATCATAATTATCTTTCTTAATACTTCATCTTTCTCTTTTACTCGGTTATGGTTGAAGAAGTATCTATAGAGGTAATTTAGAAAAAATTGATAAATATGAGAAATTGGTTTTATATTTAGGATTAAAACCAACTCAATAATTAGATCCTATATTAAGGACCAGAGGAATATTTTATAAAACACAATCCTTATATAATCAGGCTCAGATAGACCCATGAGTTTTTTACCTGTTTAAAATATTTTGTTTTTTAATTATATTTTGATTTGTTTAAAAACAAAACAATAAACCTCATAAAATTCAAACTTTCAATAATTAATATCAGTAAAACAAAATGCTAAATGGTTATCTAAATTTTTAAAATTAAGTCAAATTAAGTTATTATCTTAAACATTGTAAAAAATACAAACTAAACACTAAATGATGGCAATGTCATCAATATCTTATCTTTAATATTAATAATATTTGATTTTGCTTTACTATGAGTAGTTCTTTTTTTTTTAAACATCAAGATTTTTTTCTTTAAATAAAATTCACTTTCAAGTTTTGTAATCTAGTTATTATTTTATTTTCATTTGAGATGCATTAAAGCTAAAACTCATAAATATTTAATTCAAGTTATAGAATCACAAATTATGTAAATATAAAAATACTCTCTTATTAAATATATGTATATAGTTTAAAATATTGACACATATTATATAAATCAAATTATTGTTTAATGTGTAAATTAACTCATTTTTTAAAATTTAATCAAACAAATCATTATCTTTTTTTTTTTGACCAAGCAAACAAATCATTATCTACAACCAAATAAATCAAACTATTTTATGAAATTTAACTAAATATTTAAAATATCATTGACAATATAGAAAAATAATCATAGTAATATCATATAAATAATTTTTTTAAAAAAATCCTAAATGAGCTGATCTTTGACCCTCCAAGACTTATTTGTTTAGGCCTTAGCCCATTAGAACTGGTCTTTTTAGACCCATTTTCAATTTGAAAGACAAAATCACAAGTTTGACTTTCATAATTTTCAGGCATAAACAGTCTGGCTTAATAGACTTGACTCATTTTTTGGGCTCTAAAGGCTCCTGATGCAATGTAGATTGTCAACCTGTGATCTTTAGGGTCGGTTTGGTTCAATTACTTGGTGTTCTTGTGATTTTTTTTTTTGTTTTAAAGGTGAGGTTATAAATTCAATTTTCTATGGGGCGAATTACTTCTTTGGGCGAAAGATGGCAAAAGGAAAATATCACTACAGATATGGTTAGTATTACCATATCAAAATTAAAAGACAAAAAAAAAAAAAAAAACAAGTGAACAGGTCATCAACTTTACGTGATGGAGATGATGGAGAATGGGTCGTGGATAGAGCTGGGAATGCGGGCTGGCGGTGCGGATACGGGCCAGCCCGCAGCGGTGCGGGCCAAAAGCGGTGCGGGCTGAAGTAGCCCGCACTTTGGCGGGCTGGCATTTTGCCAGCCGAGCCCGCCAAGGCGGGCTGGCGGGCTAGCCCGCCGGCCCGCCTAACTTTTTTTTTTTTTAAAAAAATATTATTTGTATAAGTTTGAGCTTAGTTGTAATGTTAAAATTGGACTTGGAGTTTTAAATTTGAGTAATAAGTTATAATAAAATAATGTGAGGATTAATTTATAATTTGAGAAGATATTTTAGAAAAACTAACACATATTTTTTTCTAAATAATTAATTTGACTATTTTTTCTATCCAAATTAATTAAGTAGATCTTTTATGTATGTATTACATATGCAATTACATGGATGAGAAGATGTAAATATGAAATTTGGGAGTTAAAATCCTCCAATTATATTGTATAACATATTAGAAATTATATAAAAATTAAAATTTAAAAAAAAAAAAAAAGCGGGCTAGCCCGCCAATCGGCGGGCTAGCCCGCGGCGGAGCGGGTTGAAAGCGGTGCGGGCTGGAGTAGCCCGCACCTTGGCGGGCTGGCATTTTGCCAACCCGAGCCCGCCATTTTTGGCGGGCTGGCGGGCTGGGCCCGCGGGCCCAGCCCGTATTACCAGCTCTAGTCGTGGAGATTTAGAGAGGTGAATGTTCATTTGACTTGTTCCGTGAAGCACCCTTTTTTTTTTTTTTTTAATTTTTACTTATAATATTCACCACATTGCCCTGTTAATTTGTTTCCTTCTCTACCCTTAGTCATCCATCTTTCATAGCACCACGTCATTTGTCCTTCCTCTGCCGCTTAATCACTTGGGACGATGAAATAAATAGAATAATACTTCTCCAGCTATAAATATAAAATTTATTGTATAATATAATTGTAATATAAAATATGTCTTATACTATTTTTTTGTCTTAATTATAATATCTTATTTATAATTTATAAATAAAATCTTATAATTAGGATCGGAAGTAATATTTAATATTAGAAAAATTATATTAATTGATTTTTACTTTAATTTCAGCCTATAAAAATCCGTTAGAATAAAAATTAATTTTACTGACGCAAATCCGAACAACCCTAGAGATCTATTAGCGTAGATTATCATTATTTTGGTAATTGAGATTTCCATAATCCCCATGAAAAGACAGCCAAATAGAATTGGGTAAAATTGAACCAAATAGATCTATTAATAAATGCGTGTGCCTGATTTGAGCGCTCCACTCCAAGGCATTTGTATCCCGTGGAAATTTTAAACAAAGGGCTCCCGTGGCGTCCAAACGCAGACGGCGATGTTTCTTTCCCCTGCTTCGAGGTGTAGCGTAGATCGTTGCATCCTCACAGGATCTGATTGCACTCTTTACCCCCTTGTCTCCATTTGAAATGTTCAAACTTAATTGTACAGATCCTTCAGATTACCTTTTTTTTTAAAAAAAAAAATGCTTCCCTTTTAAAAAAAAAAAAAAAAAAAACCTACCCTAGTCAGTCACATTCAGTTAATTTGAACAAAGTTTAAATAAATAAAGACAAAACAAAAATACTAACATAATAAGAACAGAGAAATGACAAGCGACATCAAGAAAGCTAAAATAGGTCTAAATGTTAATGTAGTCCTCAATTCTTGCTAATAGATTTGAGGTAGGCCAAAGTTCATCATTTCTCTTCTAGCCAAATCATTAAGTACATTTTCTATCAGATATGTGGATTTTATTTAAGTACTACTACCTACCTCTTATCTTAATTATAAGAGTTAATTTACTAATTTGAGGAGATTAAGAAAATAAATTGATTTAGTTATTTGTCTTAAATAGGTGTTGTCTTTCTTAAAATATCCGTACTAATCAAGGGTATTGGCTAGAATTACCATTATTATAAGGACTACTTTGAAAAAAAAATATAAATATCATAGACAAAATGGATTGAAGTCTTATATTTAAGACCAAAATAAAAATCAAACAAGATCCTATATTAAGAATCGGAGATAGTATTTGTTAAGATAATTTATTTGTTTAAAGTAAATAAATTAATTCTCTCATTAAAAGTAATATTGTTCAAAATAGGATTAGGTTGACATACATTTTAAGGATTTGAATCATAATTCGTTCTGCCGCAAGGAGCTAACTTTTTGTACTAGATTCGATATTTGTTATTTGTTAATGAGTTGAAAAGGATTTTTATTTGTTACCGTCATCTTTCCTACAAAATACAAAAAGTACCATTTTTTTTCCAAAAAATGTTGGTGAGGTACATCCATAAAATTTAGCTAAGGTCAAGAAAGATTTTTTTTTTAATCTAAAACAAAATCTTGGAAGATACTTATAAATAACTTGCTTACAAAACACTCATATGAATATTGAATAAACGCAAAACTCATTCTTTTACAATATTAATAAGACAAAATATTGCAAATTAAACCTAGATTTGTTGATAACATATCACTTTTTGACTATGGAAGAATGGTAATTATGTTTTTAAGGTAATGTTTCCACCTTAATCTTACCAGTATACCATAATATCCTAATCATAGATCCAAAAAAACAAAGTTTAATCATAACTTGGAAAATTAATTTTAAATATTTTTTTATATGGGATAATAGTGCCAGTGGGGACTTTAAGTAAATGGGATTATATTATATTAGATGGGTTCTTATTTTGACCTTCTATTAATTGGGTGGGTGCTTCCATCACAATCTGATCTTTATAGTTATGATGGTAATTATCACTAATTTATTATTATTATATTATTAAAGGCATATAAATTAATGACCATAAAATGGGAAAGAAAAAGAAAGAAAAGCAAATGGTGTCAATATGGGTGGGTCCAAAGTTATGATCTTTTTATTTGTTGCTTTATTTAGCCACTATAAAAGAAGACACTGGGCCCTGCCGTGGGGCGTGCATTGGAGACACATCCAAGTTGAAATGGCGTTTTTACCTTTTTTTGAAAAAGATAATATGCTGATTCAAAAAAAATATTACATACGTTTTTAAATAAAATATAAAATATATAAAATCTATTTAGTTAATTTTGTTAAAATCATACAATAGATTTCAAGTTATTCTTAAAGCACAAGTTTTCCTTATTTTTCGCGAGATTGGTCTATATTATCAAATAATCTTTGTCATTTTTGACTAAAAAGTATGTATATTTTAAAATATAAAAATGATATATGTGTAATTTTAGTTAAGATGAAATTTCTGCAATTATCAATAATGAGGGATGAGTAAAAGCAATTTTTTTGTCTTTGATGAGATTAAAGAATAAGGACTCTGGAAATT